GGCTCTGATTGGTTGGCTGCCACACTGCTACTATGTTTAGTAGCATTCCAGAATCTTCTAGCAACCCAAGGACATTTAAAAATATCTCTGAGCTACGATCATTCCTGGGATTAATTAGCTACTACTCAGCTTTTGTTCCGTCGATGCATGACATACGCGCCCCGCTAAATCATCTGAATAAGAATACCAGCTGGAACTGGACAAAAGAATGTGAAGCTGCATTTTGCAGGCTGAAAACAATCATAAGCTCTGGACTATTGCTGACACACTACGATCCGTTCATGCCTATCATTGTCGCTGCAGACGCTTCAGCTTTTGGACTCGGTGCTGTCATCTCACATTAGTTCCTGGACGCAACATAGAAAGCTATTATGCACGCATCTCACACATTAACTTCAGCGGAAAGATGTCCGGTGTTCGCTCGGGACTACAGACCAAATCATGGTCTCTGGACTGAAGCACATGTTGTCTGAAAATTAGGCCATGTCATGTACGAGGTAAAGGTAGGAAGAGACAGGTGGACTCGACATCGGAACCAACTACGCAAGCGGTTAGCTCCAGTTCGCCCATCAACAGAAGGGAATCTTCCTTTCGACATCCTACTAGATACCTTCAGTCTACCCGCACTCCCGATACAGGAAGAAGCACATCGACAGGTCGATCTACGACTTAGATGGTGGCCACTCCGACAACGACAACAAACGGTCAAAATGCAAGTGAACCCCAGAAACGTACGTCATTAAAAGGGGGAGGTGTTGGGGATGTTAGATCTCCAGAACTCATTTGGTAAATGCCTTAATTTTATAATTTTATTTTGGAGATTTAAATGTCCTTGTTTTCGCGCTAAAGGTGCTCTTTTCACCTTCATGTCGTATTTCCCACTTGGGAGAATCTTTAACGCTATTGGTCCGTTGTGTATTTTTAGTATGCTATTTTTGCTACGCTTCCCAAGGACAGTTTTATGCTGTATACATACGTTTGATTTGTGTCTGTTATTATTCACTCGTGCTTCTGGCTTACGGAATATGCTTTCTCGTTCCAAGCTAGGACTTCTTCCTCTAGTTAGCGGGGCTGGGACGCATCAAATAGTCAGCTTATTGGTCTACGGTCACAATTCTTTGTTCCGTCCGGAGACTAAGTGAACTCGTGATAGTTTGAAACCTAGCATACTGGTAGAAGGCACCAGATACATATGCGCTACACGTATGGGGTATAGAATTCGCTGTCATTGTATAGCGGTATACTATTCCACGTGGTTTAGTAAAGAACAGATAACAGTGACTATGAGTGATATTCTATTTGATTCAGTGGATACATTATATAAAGTGGATTTGAGTAAATCTTTCGCAGTTGGTTATCTTAATATCCTTTGTTTTGTTCTTTCAGGAATTCGATATTATTTTATGTTCATTGTGACACTATATAATGATTGCGTAACACAACTAATCAAAGGGTATTGTTTCTTTTTTTATTAAATGGTCAATTGAGAGTTTTTCATTATATAGTAACTAATTAGTAAATATATTTGAATGAATTGAATTTCATTTAAGTTATGCACTTAACATTCTTGTTAGTTTTTGTTGGGGCGATTCGGAAAACTCCTCGAAATAAGTCAAGAAAGGCTCAGGAAACACTAAGAAGCATTTTATCCAATCAACATTCACTTTACGTTTCGCCGGAAACATCTCGAAAGTGAAAAGTTACATGTCCAGTTTCTGATTGGATGATTACCTATAGTACTGCTATGTTTAGTAGCATTCTAGAATTTTCCGAAAACGCAAGAACATCTAAAATACTATAAAAACCCGAGATTTTCTGTATTCGAACGAACCATTGGAGTAAAGTGCTTCTTGCATATTTTGCGCCTTTTCTCTCGTATTCCGGTCGCTGTGCAGTTCTAGCTTGGGGGTTACAAGAATAGCTTAGGAACTAAATATAGCGTTCAATTAACAAGACTTATCAGTTTAATCGTTTTTTTGTTTTGTTTTTCTTTTCATTGTTTTACAATGTGTTTAATTGTCACATTTAATTATGTAAGCGAAAATTTATTTTTATTAACACATTTAAATTAAGATGAATTTCTGTAACTCAATTTGTATTTGCAAAATAATATTGTTTTGATGATTTAGATGTTACAGTTGAAAAATTTTCAATGTTTCCATCAAATACCCTGGTATGGCCAAGAGTCAACTCTCCCTGTCCAAATGCACTCACATATCCACGTGTATACAACCAGCTACTGCTAGGGAAGTCCTAGTCACTGTCTTCTCGCAGCGTAACTGTTGTTTATGAATTTGAGGGTTTGGTGGATACGGAGAATCCACCTAGGAAAGTTGGGAAACCCTGATCTCAAACCAATGGTATACATGGGCTCCGAGATTCTAATGGAACAAATGGCGCATGAAGTAATTATTGGTCACCAGCTACCATGGGACTACATTTCCTTATGCTGCTCCACTGCCTTGTGGATCCGAAATCTAGGTCAAAGGCCCCGGGTTTGGCCCCCTAAGAGGACCACCTACTTCAGTTTGGGCACCCGGGTATCACAGCTCACACATAAATCAAGTGACTTGTGTGACGCATATGTATTCGGTGCCCCTTTGTACCAATATTTATGTGTTTAAATAAATACAATGTTATCTTATACAGCATTATCGATCAGCACAAATAACAATGAAAGTTTCTTCATAATAAGACATCACTTTAAAAAAAATTAATTTAACTTGCTTATGCTAAGCATTCAAAAGTATTGAAGTTACTTTTCAATTACTGAATTATAATCATGTAGAGGATATTTTACTTGTGTTGTGCTCTCTAAGTTCAAACATTCAACAGGGGAGTTGTTATAGTCATTGTCATCCAAGGCAACAACTCCGGAGAGAAATAAGTTATCAATGAGACTATAGTTTATGGACGACCTATGAACGGCGTTAAAGTGGTCTTGAGAATGTCCAACTCCTTGCTAAAGCTAAATGAGAGTTACAACCCTGTGTGGATAAGAATTATGATTTACAGTTGATGGTTAAGGTTAAGAGTTAGATTTACGGTTTTCATCACGAACTGACATTAGCTAAAATCCCTAAACTCTTCCTAACTAAATACATGAGTGAGTTTCGCGCCGAAATTTGAGACCTGTTATCTTATATCTGATTGGTTCGTCTATAAATTATAGTCTCGCCAAATTATCTACTAATTTACTGTATGTTCAGTAGCTACACTGAACATATATATAATTTTGATTGAGATCATGAACCGATTAATGTTAGAACACCATTGAAAACCTGGAAGCATTGAACGGTCGTCTCGTCCTATTGTGAGACTCATCAGCAGTGCGCATCCACGATCCCGCCCGCGAGATTCGGACCCAGGAACTTCAGTCTCGCACGCGAACGCTTAACCTACTGGACCACTGAGCCGGCATCCAATGGTGTTAATGTCTAACCTCAACCAATCCAACTAATCCGTGTCGGGTAGAGGCAAGTATCTACCTCAGTACAATGGAAGATGCTCGCGCAATTTCGTGGATTGGTTGAGGTTAGATATTAACACCATTGGGTGCCGGCTCAGTTGTCCAGTAGGTTAAGCGTTCGCGCGCAAGACTGAAGTTCCTGGGTTCGAATCCTGCGACGGGGATCGTGGATGCGCACTGCTGAGGAGTTTCACAATAGGACGAGACGGCCGTTCAGTGCTTCCAGGTTTTCAATGATATTCTAACATCAATCCGTTCATGATCTCAATCAAAACTTAACAATCTACACAACCCCTATACTGATATATGTAATTGTTAAACTGTGTTCGCAGGATATAGATTGGATTGAAACATGTTCCGTCCAGGGCTGTATTGGGGGACACAGATTGACTATTTCTTAACCAATCAGCGCTAGTGGATACTTGAGAAGACTCTAGGATCTTCTTATGTAAAAATGATAAATATATTAACGTTTTTCTTATTGTGATTCCTACTTCTATTCAACCTTGTTATATGGAATATAATTACGTTCCTGTCCAAGCATGTTCTGATTTGGGGGCTTGTCGAGTGAAGAAGTGTCCAAAAATACTAAGCAATGAGAGTAGCTGAGTAGTAATAGAAATCATAACAAATTGTAATGATCATAGTTGATTACTTTTAACAACTGGCTTAAACAGATTACATAATTTAATGAGAAAAAAAAAAGAAAGCGTAAAAGATCTAAACAATTTGATCGGTAAACAAATGAACTAAACACATAATTTAAGTGGTTGTAAAGCATTATCGACTAAAATATTTAGAATTTATGTATGAGATATATGTCAGCATCTAGTTTACGACACGCGACCGTTGTTGCTACCTTGATGTGGTGGTCGGGCTTGCCTATCGTGATGAAGCAACCAAGCTATACTGGCTGGAACAACCGTTCCTCAAGGTCCTATCATCTCAGACAGGTCGGTTGAGGAGCGGTAAGACTAAAAGCAACAAACCCAAGGTCCGAAGGCGAAGTCGTACTGCTGACTGTACAGAGGTGTGACAGCAGTAAGGTGTTTCCTTCAGACAACCAGCATGACAGCGATGCTGCCTTCCCACAAGGAGGGGTGCGGTTAGAAAAGGTCGACCCTAAAAATGCGCACCTCACCTTACCTCACGGATTTCCGTCTCCGGCGGTAAGGCCCTTTGAAAAACGGAGCTAACACGTCAAAAACCTCCCACGAAAAAGCCGTGCGCGACCGGCCTCAAGAAGTTGTCCCTTGGGCACTGCGGTCACGCTCTCAGGTCACTGAGACCGCCTCTAATCCAATTTCCCCTTCAGGTACCTCCAGAAGAACCCTTCCACGGTGTGAGCAACCGGGAAGTGATAACCGCCCTCATACCTCTAACAGCACCCAAGACCACTGTATTCATAATCAACCTTCCTATTAGGACACTATGCTAACTAATATAATTTGGAAGGTTCTATGTTACATATAACTAAATGACTGAATTGAAAAGAACGGAAGTAAATATATGAAATATAATACCCACTTACATCTGCTTCGATTGCCTGAAAGTATTCCAGTTCAATTAAAGTGACTTGTTGCTATAAAAGATAGAAAGAAATGAATTAATAAAAACAAATGTTAAACTAATTAAATGTCGATGATTAAAAAAAAATATTGAACTACGTTAGATGACTAGAGCAAGTCAACAAGAAACCTTTTAAATATCCAACACATTATATGAGATATGGATTTACTTCAACTTATGATCACATTACAACTTGATCAATAAAATTTGATCAGCACTAAATAGGACCAAACAGATATAGAATTAGTCACTATTTACTGATCAATCAACTGTATATAATGAATTATAAATGATTAGATTACAAGTTCCAAAGTCATATTTTGTATACATGAATTTGTATGATCGGATTGAATATTCCATAAAATGAAGGAATTTAGTGTCAAATGTATGATCTTATGTTGTAACTATTCAATAATAGAGAAAAATTCTGAGTTGTTGTTTTTAGCAATAACCGAACACTATCGATAAAGTAAGAATATGATAACTGTGCTGAATGCATTGACATTGGGTGCATTATAATTCTACCTTAAATGGTTGGCGGCAGTCAGTAGGATACCCTGCACCTAGGTTTCGTGATAATTGACACATTGTCAAGAGAATTTACAATCTTTAGGGACTGGATGTTACCTATGGGACTCGAACTTGAGAAGAAACAGTTTAACAGTCTGTGGCGTAAACATTAAGGACTTGACAAATACGACACTGATCACTATCAAGTTATCAATCGATATGACTGTCTTAATCCTACATGAGGTCGAGGAAGACCTAAATACATCAGTGGTAGCATCTCGGACAGTGAAGTTTGACGAAGCAGATTCGAGTTCCACAGGGAGCACCAGCTCCCCTAAGCTCCCATCTACCCGTTACTAACGCTCGGCAATTATTACAAAACTTGGGTTCTGTTTAACTATGTACAGACAAGCCTAGCATACCGAACATAGTTTTTAATAAGGAGTGTAACCATAGAATACAAAGTAGGAAATACTTTTAACACATAAGTTTTAGAAGATGAAGAATGAATCTCCCTAGGTCACTGTGACCAATTTTCAGATATCTAAAGTTAAAGACAAATGAATACAGTCATTTAGTGAACCCTAACCAGTAAACTGGAGTCACAATACTTAGATCAAACCAACATTCAACAACAACATAGATTAGCCAATCTTAACCTTCTTTTCACATACTGATTACCACTATACAATCAGTTAGTTGGCATGTCACAAACACATCAGTCAATGGAATTTCACAACCTCGTCTACTAAGCGATACACTTATTTTATGATATGTCGACACCCATCTTACACTACAAGTGAAGCACCTTAGTGAATATCAAGTATGCTTTTATAAACCGTACTGATAAATTCTCAGCCAATGACCTGATAAGGTTGACGAAGCTTGAAAGATAAGTTTATTAGTCAATCAGTTAGACTTTCTATGTTCAGATCAGTCACCAAAGCAGACCATTTTGTAGACAATGATTACTTTATTAAGAAAATCTTAATCAAAATAACGATCGTGACAGTGCATATTGAGTTTCCAAACTCACACAATAGAAGTTTGATTTTGTCGTGAACCTGTTATCGTTGTAACACTATGTCATGAATCAGTCAGCTACAACGGAGGACCAGTCACAATGAAACCCTCCAACGGATAAAATATGAAACTATGGCATACTGAATAAATAAGAATATTGATGAAAAATGTCATATGAAAACGATCTATAATACTCTTTCCTAGTTATTAGCAGTTAAATAGAAAAGAAAGAAAAAAACAACAACGTACAGCAATTAGTTCAGGATCAACTTTTAAATGTTTTTCATAACGACTTCTACCAACATCTAGTGTATCATAACTTTTACGTACAATTTTCATGACATTTGGAACAGTTGAAGATTTACTTCGATGTGATTTATCGTTTGTTATTATCTTCGATATGTTTGCAGTGGTTCTTTGATTTAAGGTATTTGGTTGCGGGAAAATGGAATCAAGTGAACTCTGAAAAAAAACGGGATACATAAAGTGGTAAAGACTCAAAAAACTAACAAATAAGTGAACTTTGAAAGGAAGGATAGAATAAACTGAACAATTATGTCTTTCTAATTGGGTTCACTTAACAGTTAAATTTGATTCATGATTAAGCCTATTGTGATTAATAAAGTGTAAAAATCACACTTATCATTTTTGGTATCAGAAGGGGTTTTGTGGGTGTTGTAGTGATTTCAATAGTTGAAGTCATGAGTCTAGATTCAACTGACTCTAAACTATTGAAATCACTACAACACCCACAAAACCCCTTCTGATACTAATCAACATATGCTCACTAGTGACTGGCTTCAAGAGGTATTTCCAGGAGTTCTAATGAGAGGCAGTGATCAGTGGATTTCAATCGGGTCAGTTGTGAGACAGTTACTCACTGATGACAATGGTGGATTTGTCGCTCAATTTCGTGGATTATTTGAAGTTAGACATTAACACCGTTGGATGCCGGCCCAATGGTACAGTGATTAAGCGCTCCAGCGCGAAACCGATAGGTCCTGGTTTCGAATCCCGCGAGGCGGGGTCGTGGATACACACTGATGAGAAGTCCCATACTAGGACGAAACGGCCGTCTAGTGCTTCCAGTTTTTCCATGGTGGTCTAGCTTCAGTTGACTCATGATCTCAACCACTGAACTTATTTTTTTATAAACTGCTACAGTATGTAATTGTCTTGAGTGCCTGAGCAGTAATCCAAGCCTTCACATAAATCGAATGATGAAGTGTGGCGTATATGTAATCGGTGCCTCTCTTGTACCAATATTTATGTGTTTAAATAAATGAATAGAATAAATATGTAAATGATAAATAGAATCTCAACGTATAGTAATGCAGAAATATGCTGAATGAATCAATTATATGTGACGTAACATCTAGTTTAAGAGTGCAGTAATTTACGACCGGAGACTGAAAATTGATACCAAGCAAGTATCGTCAAGTAATTAGATATCCTTTTGGAAGCTATAGTCTCAATATTGTTTGTTATATTAACATTTTCTTCTAGTCTTACATAGATTCAGAAACAATGAAAATGAATTTGATTAGACGATTACTACAACTTAATTAGAAAGTACTATAGTAAGTAAAGTAATTTTAGGCAAGGATTTAGAAGTTCAAACGAATCAATAATTTAGTAGGTTAATTACACATGCTCTCAACTATTGTTTACTCATCTAGTTCACATAAAATCTGGTACAACTAGGTACCACAAATAGTATGTTTGACATAAATAATATTTATATACGGGGCAAGATATTGCTCAGCAGCTCAAACAGAAATAAGTTTATCAGAAGGTGTTTTGTGGAGATTTTAGAAATTTCAATAGTTGAAATCAGGAGTCAATTGAAGCTAGACGACCATGGAAAATCTGGAAGCACTAAACGGCGCGAGACTGATAAGTCCTGGGTTCGAATATCACGGGGGGCGGGACCGTGGAGTCGCACTGCTGAGAAGTCCCATACTAGGACGAAACTGCCGTCCAGTGCTTCCAGGTTTTCCATGGTGGTCTATTGTCAATTGACTCATGATTTCAACTATAGAAATAAGTTTCCTTAAAGCGCTACTCTCCCTGGGCCTTTGACTTAATTTCACACTGTAGCGGAGCTAAACCAAAAGACGCCGTCCCGTGGTAGCCAGTAACTAAAAAATAGATTTATACAACATTCGTCCTACCACCAGGATCATGGAAACCATATACATCACTGGTTTACAGTTAGTGTTTTCTAGATCTTCTATATCTACGACCCCGGTCTAAGCACTGAACGTTCGCTGTGTATCCTCTCATTTCCCAAAACACCACCGAAACATGAAAACAGTGAGTAGATAGATGCTATGATTGTATAGCGCCATTAAATAATTTCGAGAAGAGAGGACTTTCTTTCCTTGAGAGTATCAGGATATTTAGGGATAAGCATTTGCTTCCCGACCGTTGTTGCTACCCTGATGTGGTGGTCGGGCTTGCCTATCCTGATAAAGTAACCGAGCTAAACTGGCTGGAACAACCGTTCCTCAAGGTCCTACCATCTCAGACAGGTCGGCTGAAGAGCAGTAAGACTAAAAGCAACAAACCCAAGGTTCGAAGGCGAAATGGTACTGTTGACTGTACAGAGGTGTGACAGCAGTAAGGTTTCCTTCAGACAACCAGCATGACAGCGATGCTGTTTTCCCACAAGGAGGGATGGGGTTAGAAAAAGTCGACCCTAAAAATGCACACCTCGCCTTATCCCACGGATATCCGTCTCCGACGGTGTATTTGGCATTTGGAATAGATAATGTTGAAACTATGACTTATAAGTTGAAATTTATGACAAGTTCTATCGAGTCAACCATAACCAATATAAGATCTGGCACATATATACATTGGTTGGACCTTTCACAACATACTAATATACCAATTACAGTGGTAACAGTATCTGTAGAAGCGATAAAGAATGGACTATACGGTTTTAGAAAAATGAATTGGTAAACTGTACAAACATTTTCGAAAATTATGGTCTAAGTGAGGACCAAAATGACTGAATTCGTGATAACCGCGATCAGTGGCCGGATATTTTGAATAAGTTTTACAATTGTCTGTAGGCATTTACTCTTTATCTTATACCTGATCATGAATTCTAGTTTTCCTTGACACATACCTTCATGGACTATATTTTTAAATACCTCGTCTTTCGCAATATTATTGCTACTTACTTACACCTGTTACTCCTCGTGGTGGAGCAAAGACCGCCTACCAGCACTCTCCATCCAATCCTGTCCTAGGCAACTCTTTCCAGCTCCTTCCAGTTGTTATTCATCTTTTTCATATCTGCTTCCATTTCCCAACCTAATACGTTATTTATTTATTTATTTATTTAAACACATAAATATTGGTACGAGGAAGCACCAAATGGATATGCGTCACACAAATCGAGTGATTTGTGTGAGGGCTGCGACACTGTCCGGGTGCCCAAACCGAAGCAGGTGGTTTTCTTAAAAGGCCACACCTGGAGCCTTCCACCTAATGGTCTAATCCACAAGACAGTGGAGCAACGTTAGGAGATGCAGTCCTATGGTAGTCGGTGACCAATAATTGGTTCATACATAATTTCTTCCTTCAGGATCCTGGAGCCAATTCATGTACACCATTGGTTTGGAATCAGGGTTTTCCAACTCCCCTAGGTGGATCCTCCGTATCCACCGACTCGGTTAAAGCACCGGACATCCTCTTTTATTCCTCTCGATTTCGTGAACAACAGTAAAGCCAGAAGGTAGTGAATAGGAATTCCCTGACAGTAGTTGTATGCACGTGGCCATGTGAGAGTAGTTGGAGATGGAGAGTTAACCCCCCGCTCTCGGCTGTACCAGGGCACTTGGGGGTGGGCAATATGTTCTTTGACCTTCTTCTTTTCCGCCTCTCTTCAGGATTCCGTGTTAGGTCTTGCCTCATGATGTGATTTGGTGATTATTGCTACTATATTATTGAAAATCTCTATTGCTATTCATGTTATCAATTTATTCTGGTATGGAAATTTCAGCCAACACACATCTATACCACATTTCACATTAATAATAATTTTAGCTTATACATAATTTCTTGATGACGCATTTGATACACAATCTATTGCCAAATATATTTGCTACATTAATAAGAAAGCATTAATTATCATAGAGAAATAATTTTTTCAATTATTTACTAATTACTAGTTTTTAGGGGTTGTGGAGATTGTTAAGTTTTGATTGATGTTAGAATATCATTGAAAACCTGGAAGCACTGAACGGCCGTCTCGTCCTGTTGTGGGACTCATCAGCAGTGCGCATACACGATCCGCATCGCAGGATTCGAACCCAGGAACTTCAGTCTTGCGCGCAAACGCTTAACCTACTGGACAACTGAGCCGGCACCCAACGGTGTTAATATCTAACCTCAACCAATCCACGAAATTGCGCGAGCATCTTCCATTGTACTGAGGTAGATACCTGTCTCTACCCGACACTGATTAGCCCCACTGGTTACGGCTTCTCACCAGAACTCCGAGAAATTTCTCACGAAGCTAGTCACTAGTGTGCACATGGTAATTTTCGCGGGTTCGAACCCCGCGAGCGGGATCGTGGATGCACACTGCTGAGGAGTTTCACAATAGGACGAGACGGCCGTCCAGTGCTTCCAGGTTTTCAGAGGTGGTCTAACATCAATCGATTCATGATCTCAATCAAAAATATTTACTAATTACATTTAATTGAGCCGATTATTGTTTTCTTTTTTTGGTGATTATCTTTCAAATTAAATTTTTATGTTTGATAGTTTTCTTGAAAAAATCGATCTTGTTTAAGCTCTGAGAAAAGAAAACAATCACTATAGTAACGATTAATGTTAGGTTAATGTTGTTAACTTTCTTTTTATATTTTGACAATAAAAAAAATGTGATTATATATATATATATATTCTTTTTTGTTATTTATGTATATAAAACTTGAATGAACCAATTAATTATTATTTGCTTAATCAAATAAGAGATTCAATCAAACAATGTTTAATGATTTAATAATTAGATAGAATAGTAAGAAGTAATGTGTAATAAGGCATATATTAAGAAAAGAGATATGATAATAAACTGAAGTAAAACTGTACAGGAGCATGTGAAATGATATCACGATAAAAGAACAAACAAATCTTTTCCCAATTTCGTAGAATATGGAGTGGAAATGCATGGGCATTAAAGAGATAAGTTCTAGTCTAAGTCAAGGAATTTTGAATTCTTACTAATGGGTTCGAAGCTTTAAACCTAGACAATCCAACCGAGTGGTGTTTAGCACTTACACAATAAGCGTAGCTTAGGACCTTGAAAAAAAACAGTTTAAGTAACTTATGAACTGGAATCACCCCACTTAATTTAAGGCATTATAGATAAAACACAATTTGTACGGGGGATTTTTGGATATTGTAGTATTTTGATAGTTGGAATCGCGAGCTGATTTTAGCTA